GTGTTTATTACTCAATGTTATATGCCCTGATTAAGCACAGTAAATATATGATTGTATAGAATGAAAACATAATAAATATATATATATATTAAGAGTAAAGAAAAACAAATAATAGTTGTGTCGTTTTTCTACTTTCAAGGTTGGCCCTGCTCTATTTAGCACCCTATGGAAATCAGAGCAGGAAATCAAAATATTTAAAGTACTGGTTGCAATGTGGTGAATATTAAGAGTGTATTTATATATGACATGTGATCTTATCATTTTGAATCTTATCATTTAAAAAAGCAAACTCTCAAAAGCAAACTCTCAAAAGCAATTCCTTTTAAACATTTCCTAAGCTAAGCAAGTGACCTAGAAAGAATTCCAAACTGACCCATCTAGAGATATGTAATGGAAAGCTTAACTTGTCAAAAGGTCTCCAATACTTGCAAACACATTAACTTCCGTTACAATTAGCCATTTCCATAAACAATTCAGATAAAACTACAGTCCCACCCACTACCCTGTACTCATCCTACACATTATCTTACACCCGGGATGGTGAAACTGTGGCACGTGGAGCCATTTGTTAGGGCACAAGAGGCGTTGTGCTATCAGCTCCAGCACGCATGCACACGCTGGCCAGCTGACTTCAGACTTCTTTTTCAGCTGTTTTTCATCAACCAGAGGCTTCCCTGAAGCCTCCGGAGGGAGAAAAACAACCCAATGCGTACACCGGACATTCAGAAACGGACTTCCGGTTTGCCTATAGGGCTGTTTTTCGCACTCCGGATGCTTCAGGGAAGCCTTCTAAAGCCTCCAGAGGACCTCCAGGGGAGGCTATTTTTGCCCTCCCTATGCTCCTAGAAAGCCTCTGGAGCCTGGGGAGGATGAAAAACAGGTCCATTACACGCCAAAAGCGGGGGGGAAGGGCGGGGGCGCACGCATAGCATTATGGGTGTGGGCACGCCCACGCAGGACCCCTCTGCATTCCCCTTGCTTTTGGCATGCGATGGGGGAAAGGTTAGCCATCACTGTCCTACACAGTGTACTCACAAATTTTACAAACTAACAACTCACCTAGATAATAATTTCATTGTTTAAACACTATCATCTTTCTTTTTTTGAGGACTCTGGAAATATTTTATATTCATTATATGCATTCCCCTTGCTTTTGGCATGCGATGGGGGAAAGGTTAGCCATCACTGTCCTACACAGTGTACTCACAAATTTTACAAACTAACAACTCACCTAGATAATAATTTCATTGTTTAAACACTATCATCTTTCTTTTTTTGAGGACTCTGGAAATATTTTATATTCAATCATACCAATCTTTACTTTGGTAAAAATGGAAAAAATGAGTAGGATGGAAAAGAAAACTTATTTACTAACAATAATTAACATGAAATCTGTTATTAAATTTGAGGTAAAAGTAGAAAAATTAAAAGCCATCTACAGTTAAAAACAAAATTATGTTAATTTTTCATAGACACAAGAATTATAAAATCATTTTTAGAGCATTGGTCCACTTCTGATTAAATTACATGAATTCAATTACATTTATCTTAACTCTATATTGAGAAAAAGGAACTTGAAATCCACAAGATTTTATGTGCTTCACTTATGTTCCAACTTTCATTTCTTCTTTTCCAAGAGATAAAAATGATTTTATTTTATTTCTGTTGTGATAATAAAGATTCTATTCTATTTTATTCTATTCTACCCTACCCTACTCATTTGACCACAAATATTGATTTATAATCAGGTTCAAAATAATTCCTAAATTTGCAGAATATTTAATTTTATAAATGCTTTATAAAATATGAATCTCTTAATAGAAATAGATTTCAGTATTTCCAAGGAGCAAGGTATTTTTTTCTTAAAAAAAGAAAAGAAAGAAACTTACTGAAATACAGCACTGTCAAAAATAATAACCAACCTATAATATAAGTACAGGATACATGCCAACCCTCCCAAATCATAACTGCCACTTTACAAGAGCGAAATTTACTGGAAAAATTACAGAGATATTGAATTCTTTTAAATGTTTTAAATATTCTTCATTTCTAGGTAAAAAACACATAGAAACAATTAATGTAAACTAATGAGCCTTGGTGGCACAGCGATTAGAATGCAGCACTGCAGGTACTTCTGCTGACTGTCAGCTGACCACAATTTGGCAGTTCAATTCTCACCAGACTTAAAGTTGACTCAGCCGTCCATCCTTTTGAGGTTGGTAAAATGAGGACCCAAATTGTTGGGGGCCGCAGTCTTAAGTTATTTTGAAGTGAATGGGAAAAAGATGAGAGTTGCACTTGACTGTTGCCAAGAATTTGAAACAGGTACTTTGCAAAATACATTACTATGAGCAAATATTTTTTCTTTGAAGCATTAAGGCCTCAGCATCCTTTGGGAAAGTGGCATGGCTACTCTGAAAGAGTCCATTGCTGCCTATTGCATTCCTTTGCTGTCATAGCAGAAAGTGCTATCTAAATATGTACAGAGGTACATGAAAACAAGTAGAGGGAGTTTTCAAAGCAGCTATACGAATCTTTAAAGGATGTAATGCCCTGAGTAAAAGTACTTTGCTTTGCTGAAGTTTTTAGTAAAACAACTCTTTCAAATGCTTTGCACAGCTGTACAGTCAAATGCAATTCATCTTTTTCCCATTCACTTCAAAATAACTTAATATTGTGGCCAATATTAATTTTTAATATTTGTGCTACCAGGCAAATTCTCAAACATTTTGAGTATAAACACTCAATTATTAACTTTATTTATTGCTCCATAAAAATGATTTTAAAGAAAAACCAAGGCTGCATAAAGTTGGTATATTAACTTGTTTTTTTTTAAAAAGGTTTTTAATTCATTTTTCCTCTAACTTATCATTATCTACTTATTACATTAAAATAATAGCTTTCAGAATGTATAATTTTAAAAGTATTAGTTAAACCAATGATAAAGAAAAATACGTGAAAAAATCTGTCCATAGGTACAAGTATTGCAATATTTATTATTAAATATGCTTTTTTAAAAGATGTACATTACGCTATAACAAAAATACTTACCAAAGTAGTCTGTCTTGGGACATGCATCCATCTCCTGCTCCAGGCGCTGAGTAAGAGCTTCTAATTTTAATTCAGCAGTAGAGGGCCCTTGGTCTTGCTGTGAAAGCAGCATCTGACAGGGTAATTTTATTTTTGCAGAACCAGACATTTCTTGGGGACCAGAGTTATGCTGCTGAACAGTGACACTCTCCTTAAAAGGAGATTTGGGAACATCAGAAATCATTGGTCCATGAGATGTTGGAGTGATAGAATTCTGCTCAAGACTCAGACCAAAACCAGCAGAATTAAGCCTGTGATTTTGACCATGAACTACAAAATTATCTGAAGTGTATGGATGAATATTGTGCTGCTGATAATCTGCACTTGAAGGAACTGGGGTAGAAATTGAAGGTTGAGTGCTATCACTGCACCTTGAGTGGTTGTCACCACTGCTTCTATTTGGATGAAAATTAACAGACCGATTTGAAAGAATCTGAGAAGAATGTATTGATGAAACAGAATACGATGAAGATTTCTGATGTGAATATCCCATGGCTGATTCATCACCAACCCCAACTGAAGAAGACAAGGGGATACTGTCATGAGAAAAAGATGGTCTCTGGCAAGCTAGCTTTTGGATACAGCTCTTACTAAGTCCAGAGCCTTCATTTCCACATTCCTGACTTCCATGACCACTCTCTGAAGATCTGTAAGGGTTTTGGGATTGTTGGCATAGATGAAGATCTGTATTTCTAGGGCTTCTCTGCAATGATTCATCTTGGCTATTTGACCAAAAATGAGGGGCAATAGTTGATTTCTGGCTGCTAAGCTTATCAGCACTTTTCTTCCTTCTTTGAACACCTGTTTGATTATCACCATTGCTGTGTTCTTTCCATGATAGGGAAGGAAGCACTGCCTTAGAACTACCTGGGTTCATCTGACCTGATCTGTGGCAATTTGGTCCTCCAGGAATATCTGGACCCTGTAGTCTGTTGTTATATCCATAGTCATCTTGATATATTTTTGTTCGCTCTCCATCACTGTGACATAAAGGCTGGCTTGGAAAAGCGAGCTGATGACCTGCATATACTGCAGCCAAAGGAGGCTTAGCAACATTTTCCCGTGGATGCAATTTATTTGTTCCTGTGGTGTCTTTGACTACAGAATAACTTGGAAGCTGACCACCAAAATTAAATCCACCATTCAAATCCACTGAAGTTCCTTTCATCAACTCTTCTTCTTGTTGTTGTTTCTGCAGATGAATTTTAGCCATTTTTGTAGCAAAAACTCTTCTGGTTTCTTCAAATTCTGGGTTATTCCCAACAACTTTGTCTACTCGAAAGAGACCATCTTTGGAAGCTTCATACATATTGAGGTCTTCTATAAATTTACTTGCCTCTAAACCAAGGTCATCATATTTATCCATTTTTAAATGTTTGTTCATTCAAACAATAGTAGAAAAACAAATGAGCTAATATTTTCAATATTAAAATTAACCTGTTATGTTAAACTCAACAACAAACTCCATGGTTACTAAAATTCTTTGCTATTTCTTATGAGAAAAATAGAAAGGGAAAACTTCACACTTCAGGGTATTTTCCAAAACAGCGGTATATTTCTTAGATTATCCCGGGAGCCTTTAAGTCCTGGTTACTCCTGAAGAAACTTAAGGTCCAAGTTCTTTACATTTCAGTTTGTGAAGAATCAATGGCTGCCACAAATATTTCTTCAATTCTGCCTAGTATTATTTCAGCGAAACTACTAAAATTAAAAGAGATAAGATTAATTTAGCAATAAATACAAGCCAACATACACTCTTTGTCATCAGAAATTACACCCTAGCTTCATATTAACCTTCAAGCCAACATTATCTCAGTGAAATTTGTTTGCGGCAGCTCGAACATTTATAGGCTGAAAGGAAACATTTATATTGTGACGGTGTATACTGGAAAAGCCCGCAAACTCTGGGGAAAGACAAGCTTCGGAAAAATAACAATTTAGTCAGAGACGGAAGGAAGCCCGTTCCGAACTTTTCCACAGCTAGAGGAAATCTTTGCTTTTCGCACTCTTGTCTTTCACCGCCCACCTTTTATTTGAAAAAGTTATTGAACTTTTTCTCTCCAAATCCTCTCCAGATTTCCTTTTTAACTTCCTCAACACTGGAACCAATCACCGCTTAAAATGACACTCCAAAACAAGAGACAGAAACCTTGGCCCATGACAAGCAGCCCCAGTGTGTTTGTTAGTCCTACCCGATCTAGAATACAAACATTGTGATAGTTACCGGTTGGTACTACAGAATTGCCCCGGTTTTCTATATCCGTTTGCTACCATTTAGAGGTACATTTTTGTAGCCCCAATCTTTGCCGTTCCCGCGCTGCGGGCCTGAAAAGAACCCTCTGTCCACGCGGGATAATCCGGAACATTCCGCTGCGTACGAAAGAAGTCAAACGCCCATCGGCCCGGTCTTGTGGACGCTTCCTCTGAAAGAACAAGGCCGGCTTGTTCTCACAGACTCCATTGCAAGCACGAATTTAGTCACAGACTTACTTAATCAAGTGCTAGTCCTACCTGCGGCTCGTGGGAAATGAATCATTTGCTTTGCTTTCTTGGCGTCGTGGCACTTTGAGGAGTGCGGTTGTACCGGGAGGTCAGGCTTCGCTCAAAAAGCCCATGGTGTGGCGGCTAGATGTTCTCTCCGCCTCGCGGTTAGATTTGCTTTACTTTCTTCGCGCTTTCCCTATTCAAGCTTAGAGCTGTGGGCCGCTGAGGCGCTTCGGGCGCCGCCGCCTCTTCCTTTTCTTTCCACAATTCCTCTTCTTCCAATACCCGTAGATTACCGGAGGAGGAGTTTGCAACGTGGTTGAGATAGTGAGATATGTCAGCACTCGCTGGCAATGTAGATTTGAGAGGGGAGAGGCGTTGCGGAGGGCGGGAACAAACCTGCTCTTCTTTTTCTGCTGTGTCAATTGGTCGTTAAAGGCAAGAAAACTGCAGGGATTTGGCCAGGTAATTGCCATGATTCAACACTGACTTGAAGACTTGAAGACTTGAAGAAGAAAAAAACCTCTGATAGTAATATGAGTGTTGAAAATATTGGGATAAGTAAGGTGACCAATCGTCCTCCTTTAGGGAGGACAGTCCTTTTGTAAGTTCTGTCCTCCCTCGAAAAGTGTCCTACATTAAGGTGACCATATTTTCAGATTGGTAAAGAGGGACCCCATTGACGGGGGCGGGGGGGGGGGGGGGGGGGGGGTTGATTAAAAATTTTATATTTTGTCAAAAGGTCACCCCAGGACACTGAA